ATATGAATGCAAGAAATTTGTTTGCATCATTCACGACAGGAAGGACAAAAATGTGTACATTGAAATATTTTAAAATATTATGAATATCAATTTAATAACACTCATATGAAATCAAATGCACATTATTAATCTAATCAAACACTTCGATCAGTAATAACGAAAAAATGTTTCAGAAATGAAATTAGATCACAGATACGTATGGCACATCATACAACGGACATGCGTTTCCAGTAAAAAGACCAGTCTAGATGAGCTCATAAAAAACGAATGTGTTAACATTACCGACAGATAAATAACCTTGAAATTAGCCCCCGATTTATTTTGTTTGTTTAAGCGAGTCTATAGACTTGGCTGGAGAACAGGTGTATTGAACTTCCCAAACACAATGCTCACACAGAGGTTATTTTACACGCACAAGAAAATCCTTTAAGGGGACCGGCTACCCCTAAATTTTTAATTTTGGGGTTTTCCGATTTTTGTGCTCATCTTAAAGCTCACTTTCTGACGCATCGAACGGTACCAGAATCATCTCTCTACGTCAAGAAATGATTTCGTGACAGCTCTCTGAAGGGGGGCGGTTTTGAGGGCCCTTCAGTAAAGTCTATGGGATTAATTCTAAGGCTGGACACACTAAAAAGGAACGTCTGACGTAAAGCGGCCAATTATGGCATTATCTGGTGCTTGTACTCATCTTAAAGCTTACTTTCTGACGCGTCGAACGGTACCAAAACCATCTCTCTACCTGCATTTTGAGGCACAGGACGCGTCGCAGAATGGGGGGCGGACGAAAAAATGTTTCAGAAATGAAATTAAATCACAGATACGTATGGCGCATCGCACAGCGAACATGCGTTTCCAGTAAAAAGACCAATCTCGATGAGCTCATTAAAAAAGCGAACGTGTTAACATTAACGATAGATAAATGATATTGAAATTAGCCCCCGATTTATTTCGGTTGCGAGTCTATATAGACTTGGCTGGAGAACAGCTGGGGCCATACTCTCAAAACTCGCAAAGTGAACGTAATTACTTACGCTCTACTTTCTTGTCTATGATTGGTGGATTTTGCTTCAAATACCGTCGATGATTGGCTGATGAACCTACGATCTCTTAACTTTTTTTGAATGTATGGCCCCAGGTGTATTGAACTTCCTAAACACAATGCACACAGAGAGGTTATTTTATGCGCGCAAGAAAATCCTTTAATATTGTTATTGAAGGCACGCATGAACTGCAATGAGTCTGATATGATGAATGAATTCACCCCAGAAAGAGTTCTATAAATGTGAAAAGTAGGAATGATACTCAACATAGGAAAATTTATTAGCTCCAGATTCAATTTGGCATCATTAGTATTTTTAATTACTGACTGGATAACAGATTTATAGCTCCTCGACACTCGCTTCCACGATTATTTTTTCGTTGAAAATGGAGAACAAGCAACTTCAACACATTTTTGCTACATTATCTTCGAACATGGTACATTTACCTCACACAAATGTGTGCATCACCATCATCAACGCGCTCGGCATGGTCACAAGATCATGTCAGATGTGTTAAGTAAATCAGTTTACTATTATTCTTGATAATAATGCCGTTAAATTAGTCAATTATTTTCGAAATAAATACAAGCTATTGTAGAGTCAATGCGGCCTTGAAAATAGAGATTTTATACTTTTCTGAAGGAATAAATCATTTGGAACCAATGTTCATTCAACAGCATCACATAAAGAAGAAATAATCGAGAAAAAAAATCGAGTGATTAATCTATTTTGTCTGCAGAATCTTACTCTAGAATAATCAGTCATGTTTGAATTGATCTGGAAATCAGAATCTGCAAGGAAGCTCTGAAAATCAAAGAGAAATCTACTAACTAAGCACGAAAAATGTTTGTTGAAGTTACGTCGTGACATCGTCAATCACGCACGCAATATGACAGAATTTGACATCAATATTCATGGCGTATCATCAAGACACACGACAATCTGCCCAGCTTTGGAAGGACACTAAACAGCTCAGGAACTATCGCTAAATTGCCCAACTTGTCTGCGTTCAGAAGCAGGAACTGAAAATCACCTGCGAATTTCCAGTGGCCAACCGTCCGCTGGAAATTCGATCTTATCGATGGTTCCAGCCTCGACGTAGTCAAAGACATTATATGCGACATCTTAATAATTATCCTATCAGATCAAAATGTATTCTCTGAGCAAAACACAAGGTCAACCTCCGTTTATTGATATAAACCCCAAATAAATCATACGCTAACGTGACTTTGCATACACTTGTGTGTTGCTTGGCTGTGGAGAGCATCCAACGACATGGTGTGGGACGACAGACCTAATGATAATTTTCCCAATATTGGGAGAGAACGTACGTACATGGATTGCAATATCCTTCATTCGCTGTCACCTCAGCGCCTGGCATACTAAAGTCCTTGCTTTGAAGTCTGTTCTGTTCAAATGAACGCACGAGACACCGGCAACACAACTAGATGCAAACATGGTCAGCTCCCTGGGTACACGCTATGCATGAATCTGTCAGCAGTGAAATAAATGGACATTGGCAACAACCTGCATTGAACCCTCAGTTTGCACTTAGATAATAAAAGCATACAGAACAATATAATAAATTCTTGATCACATCTTTAGCAATATAATAAATTCTAGATACATTATTTTCCTCCTAAAATTTAATACAGTTTTATGCCATCTGTCATACATGTACTAGCTGTAAATTACGATGTTATCCATCTGGTGAAGCTCTAATGCAGAACTTAGAACGGAGTTCCGCTCGACGTGAGTGGTGAATGTCGAGTTAAATAACGTCATCGTTACAACGGCTATGTACTATGTAGACATATTGAAAAATTTTCTTATGTCATTGCATATTCACAGTAATTTCACTGCTATATACATTTAACTACTCGAAACGATGCTATTTTGTTTCGCTATCTTCGATTTCAATCAGTTTGAATCTCAAATTGTTCCAATTGTTTCCAAACTAATGTAATCATTTTCATATTTATTCTTTTATAACCGGTTTCCGCGAATATCTAATAAATGGTAATAACATTTAAATCATGTTCAATTCGACAATTTTTTGTACAATTTATAAAATTAATTTCAAGTATTTTTTACTTGGTATTGGCGAACGATCCGAAATTTCCCGGTTTCGAGCCTCAGTTTTTTAATTTATCGAACTACGAGCATACAATAGAAAATTTCTGAAAACCGATATAAGCCATGATAATTAGCTCAGTTCAATTTTTGACTATGAGTCTCAGTTATAAACCTGATTTTATACAGCATGGGACACTTACAGATGTAACTAGAGGGGGATATACGTAGATGTATAGATGACACATACTGATGACACTTATAGATGACACTTACTGATGTAACACTTACTGATGTTACTAGTGCGGTACAACGAGATAGAAGATCCTCAGAAGGGCGTGTAGCATTATCATTCACATAGAAGACATTAGCTGTTGGTTGCTTCTGCCACATGTGGGCTTTCGTTAACATGATCCTAATCTGAGGGCACGGAGCCCCGCAAGTGTGCATTAGGTAGACGTGAGGATCACCCTAAGACGCTTAACACCCTTGACTAACTAACTAACCTACCTCGAAGAGATCAAATGACGTTCCCAGAGCTTCTAATGAGACATTGTGGAGCTTCTGATCTCGATTCTACAAAGTGGAATAGTAATAAAGTGAATATGATTGCCTTGTTGCTTGAAGTCACGATAAATTGCTTAAAATTACGCGATTAAAAATGTTTTTTTATCTTATCATCTTAAGCTAGTTCAACAGATCGCGATGTCTGGTTTCTGGTTTCGTGAATACAGTAGAGTATTCATTTGTGTCGGTTCCATCACACAAAAATCTGATCCATCGAGGACTGAACAACTTAGTGTAAAGATGTAATCATAAATAAACTCAATGGTACATGGAAAACTGGAATGAGGAGAAGATGACTGTGTGATGAATGTTTGATGGCTGGAGGAAAAGATGGTAAAATGGGTAACTATTTATTTTATCAAACGAAGAATGCATGAATAATTTAATGATATTATCTTTAAAAATGTAAAGTTTTAACGCCATACTTCCAAATGAATTTTAACTTTGTCTGTTCAACATAGTAGATGTCATTCTTATCACTTCGTGTATTTTTATTTTATTATTTGTGATATTAGAAAGTAACTGATTGAGAATAAAAATGTCGGTGATCAATATTCAATCGAATTATGTTGAATTATGAATTATCATGTTATGAACAATCCAGGGTGATAAAGCGACCATGACAACGAAAAGTCAACGTCAGTCGTCCCCGTAAGATTTGTAGTGTCAGTAATGAAAAGATTACGCAATGTATAACTTCTCGCAACGCAGTCGTCGACTTGAAACTGTTATACTCAAACCTGCGCATTGTTGAACTGAGATATCTGAGAAAGGCTTCCTTGTAGAAAAGCAGAGACAGGTGATGATGAATAACAAAGAAGAAAGAACAAAGCATTCGGCTCGATAAGAAGTCTCTTTTTGTCCGCTTTGATGTAACTATCTATAATTTTACCCCCAAAAAAATATATTCAAACATTTTAATACTCGCGTATCTTTAAGCCTGAAGCGAACTAATGACAACGTGTGAGAAATACCCCCTATTTAAGGAAACGCGTTAATGACAACGTGGTAGAAATAACCCCTGTTTAAGGAAACGCGTTAATGACATCGTCGTAGAAATAACCCCTGTTTAAGGAAACACGTTAATGATAACGTCGTAGAAATAACCCCTGTTTAAGGAAACACGTTAATGACAACGTGGTAGAAATAACCCCTGTTTAAGGAAACACGTTAATGACAACGTGGTAGAAATAACCCCTGTTTAAGGAAACGCGTTAATGACAACGTCGTAGAAATAACCCCTGTTTAAGGAAACACGTTAATGACAACGTGGTAGAAATAACCCCTGTTTAAGTAACACATCACCGAGCTACTCACGGGTCCTTGAAGATGAGGTTGGCGGGCTTGCCGACGCGCGTGTGCTCAGCGTCGAGCGTGACGGGCAGCGAATGTGGCGCGCCGTCCAGCAAGTCGCCGGGGTAGAGGTCGCCGTGGTCCCTGAAATATTCCCCAAGCGCACTTCTCGGCCACCGAGTTTTGGATTTTATAGGAAAGTTAAGGCGGTTTTTTAGAGTGGAAAAGTTTTTTTCCTCCCCATGTGATGACGAATGGGTGTGCGAAAGACTTATTTCTTCTTCAGGGTGATGCAATTCACTCGTTTTCCCATTTCGACGAGATTGATCACCAGTTTTTCTCGCGCTAGTGTACGAGCTATTACTTCTTTCATCATGATGGGGGGTATAACTCTTCTCACTCTCAAGAGATAAAGCACTATTTTTTACCCCACTAGAACCCGTCTTTTTGCCCTCGCGTGGCTCTGGATGAAGAGTTACATGTGGCACGGAGGATTGCTCTGCAACGCCCATGGAATTGCTCGGCAATCTTTTATTGGATTGCCGTGAGCCCAATTGCGAGGCTTCAAGATGAAGTCGACTTGGAGGCTGAAGAAGACTAGAATTGTGGGCTCTGGGAGGTTGGGGCGGATCTGAGCGAGCTGCCATTTGTTCGGGGTTCTGGAATTGATCAAACAAGAGGTCGTGGTGTTGGTGATGGTCAGGATATATTTCGCTACTTTGTGTATGGCCAAGGAGGATATTGCCGGTTTTCTTTGAAAGATGAGGTGATTCTTTCTTTTTCTTGGAAGTAGGAGAGAGTTTCTTGTTTTTCCTTAATTGATCATGCGATGACGAAGGGTATGAACTCATAAATTGATCATGCAACGCGCTGAGGTGCAATGATTGCTCATGCACTTCTTCCGGATTCTGGTCTCGATGGGGCACAGGGTTTGGGTTACTCGGTTGATCCTTTAGCAGGTCAGAATTCGGGGATTGATCTTGCCGGTGACCTGGCGACCGAAATTGGCCAGGAATCTGGTCAGGAGGAGCACGATGGTCAGATGTGCACAGAGAAGGAGGGATCGAATGGATCACGAGGAGCAGGGCGACCAGGAGAAGAGCCGAAACCCGCACGCAACAGCAGTCACGCGACATCTGTGAAAAAAAAAATACGAAAGAAAATTGAAGTCGGGTTATACTTCTCTCCCAACATGAAAAATAAATTGTTATTTATAGTGAAATGGTCTAATGTATAGTCATATAGTTTCCGAACTTAATAAATTTATAGAATCTCAAACACTTGTTAAATGCAGCAGTCATGCGACATCCGTGAAAAAAAAGAAAATTGCAGTCGGGTGATATTTATCTCCCAACGTCAATAATAATTTGTTATTTATAGTAAAATGGTTCAATTTATAGTCAAATCGTTTCTGAACTTAATAAATTTATAGAATCTCAAACTCTTGTTAAATTATTTTGCTGGTGAATATTATCAATTTAAAATTTCGTTAGAATCACTACACCAGTGTTCCCTATAGCAAATTCATTAGCCTAAAAAACAATAACCTGTCATTCGTTTTACTTGCGAGATTAGTGATGTTGTCTCCCAAGAAAGTAAGATTTCATAAGTTGTATTTGGCGTACAATATTTTCAAGTTGGTTCAATAGAAGACAAGCTGTACTCTTATAGGCAAGTTACCATGCATGACTAAGTAATTTCGTCATATTTCCTCCGACCACGTTTTGGTGACAAGCACCAAAGCAGTTCAAAAACTACAAGAATACATGCATAAAAATAGAAAGATAAAATATAAACATGTTGTGATCGAAACCCCAATCGCTAAATGAAATGCGGAGGAACGTAAAAATCTGTTCAGATTATTTAATTTGATTCACAATTTCCAGTGAAAATGAACGATCAGCGTCATTTTGACAAAGTTCTCTTTGAAGATATATGGTGAAAAACATGAATTCAGAATAAAAATGTATGTATTAAAATATTTCGCTGTTCCATTATCTAAATAGCCTTGCTTATAGTCATATCACATATGTATTTATGTCGAGGCAACTTTCAGTAGTTACCAAGGTTCATTTTGAGAAAATTATTTAGTTTACATTAATTATCTACTGAGTCTCTGTGTCCGAATCTATGTCCAATAAGTCAAAGAGTCAATCCATTTCCCATTCAATCATATTGGTAATTCTTTGAATTTGAGAGCGCGTCAACAAATGTCGGAATGACATCGCTCAACTTTACACGCAGATTGGCAGAACACCAAGGGAGGAGTTTTGTACAGGAAATCGGCTTAAAGTGTTCGCCTTCACTTCGACGTACTCTTAAGTGCGACGTACAAGTTATTATAAGAATTTAGACTCCACTGCCAATACTTCAGATTTGGGCATAATGGAATCGTTGCGTATTTATAACGAAAGCCTTGTTTATATAACGCTAATAGTTATTATACGCTTAGATATTTTAATCTAGAGTTTTTCACGATACTTTATTGTTACATATGACAGTTTAAATTTTAATCTCTTCTATGTGAATTTGGTCGTTTAATTCGTTTTAAATATTCCTGAAGTTCTTGACGGGAGTTCTTGACGTGATGTTGGAGCTGGTCTGCGACGTGATGAAATATGGCCAAGTTACTCTTTTTTTTTTGCTTTTAAATTCTTTGTTAATATAAGTAAAGAAGTGATATGTTATTTTAATGGTGTAAGCAGCGATTTTAAATAATTCACAGCAGCCTAAATTTTATGGTTTCCTGAAAGTTGAGTAGGCAATATTGAATGTATATCAAAGTGTCCGACATCAAAATTTGCGACATTGTGAAATGAGCTCCCATAAGAAAGTTAGCAGAGTTAGCGATACAGTATCTGTAGAAAATAAGCATGCAAGTATTCAGGTACGTTAGTCTGGCAATGAAGCTGAATTACGTTACCAAGTTAGCTTTTCCAACCGAAAACAAGTTTTCCAATACGTATAAGTTCCATTGATATTCTTAGCGGTGTTTCGAAGCTCTTCTTAGAAGCTTATGAGTAATTTTCCTCAAATCAGTTTTTTAACTAATAAAACATTGCACTCTAGTAAGATTTTTACTGTTAACAGGAATTCAGTGACCTCACAACGCGGATAATTTCACATATTGAAGGTGGATATGCCGCGCCGAAATTTCTGGCTGAATGAAACTCTAAAAATGTTTGGGCCAGACCATCAATAAATCGAATCCAGCGATTCTGAATTACACTTGAAACTTTTTAATGGAAAATGTCGTTGAGCACGATTTGGATTCCAGATCTCAATGTCCGCTGGAACATAATTAAGACTCAACTTAGCGGAAATGGCGTTTGAGAAATGGGATTACGAAGAATTATACGTTAAACTGCATAATCAATCACATGCAATTATACAGGTCTGCGATTGATTAATTAATACTGTTTCTATCTTCGAATCTTATATTCCATTATCTGAAAACATGCGTCGTTCATTGCAAAATGACATCTCACTCATCGACAGGATGTTCCATCTCCAAAGAGTATTTCGTGACGAGCGTTTGTAAACTTGTAATGGAAGTTGACGGTCAGGAAGCATTCTCGACGCCGCCTCGCCGTAAACAGTTGGGCTCCCAGCACGCCCGTGTACCAGCACGCCCGTGTAATTGCCAGCCCAAAATACGGCATTGCTTTCCGCCTAATTTGACGTGAGACTGAAATGGGATGGGACGCCGCCGGGATAAGTTCTGCGAGCTCACATCAATTTAAAGCAATCTTTGCAAGATTTAAACCGTATCTATGCAACATGAAAAGGAACAATTATTAACAAGTTTGTAGGCGTTGCAGCCTGAATTTGCAATTCTTTTCTCTTTATCCAGTTCGAAACAAATATTCTATTCTTTTCACGATAAACAAACTAATCGTCTATACTTTCATGTATTCTATTATAAAACAACTCTTTCCCCATGCTTCGGATCCTAATTTCTATTTTTTTTCTCTGACTTCCAAACTAATTTCCATTCATCTCTTTTTGGCAGAAACGAATTTTCAGTTATTTTTGCAGGTCGCTAAAAAAGTCCTGCTTTGCATTTAAATTTTCCAAGTCAGAGAGGCTGGTCATGACTCGCGGCATTCAAGTTTCGTGAAGGCAACCAATGTTTTGAAGCCAACAAAACAAATTAAGGGACCATAAAAAAGGCCCACGACGCGAAATAAAACTCTTATGAATCTATGTTAGATGTCACGAGATTACAAACGTCCTTATATAGGCATAATCGTTTTGAGGAAATTCCGATGAAATTTTTTTGCGTTCGGGTAGGATATTATTTTGTGAACAGAAAACAGACAACAACAGTCTGTTGGACGAAAAGGTTGCTGCACGATTTGTCAATTTGGTACGCCGTGCTTGCAAAAAAATAACGGTACAGTTTCATATATGAAAGAGGTAAGGTTCTACAATATTATTTTTAACCTTTTAGAACTATAACCAGATTACAATTTTTCTTTTATTTGGGATATCATTCATTAAAAATATCGTGTAATGCAATCGAATAGCTCACAAAGAATACAACTTTAATTTATCATTCGAGACAACTAATTTATACCTACAAACAATGTTCACGAAAAATATTTAGGCATTATTGGCACAAAGTTCCCACGAGGCTGTCGGTAAAATTGTTCAGAAAGAAGTGGCCGCCCAGTGTACATCTCCCGAACGAGTCTAATGAAATAGGACAATATTTCGGTCACGGTTTTGCAATAAATTGTAGGGCCCGAGACTGAGATTCCGTTAGCATTGTTTGCAGAGCAATGAAGTCCTAATGCAATACGCCAGACTTTGCGCCCACTAGCTCTGCCTACCATGCCGGCCGTTGCCCAGAATTCAGACAATGCAAGAATTCAGCACACATGAATTTCCCTTTAGAATATCCTGGAGTATAATAGAACGAGGTGAGAGAGCTGGCTTCATAAAGCCTCGTAGGCCACGACAAATGCTCTCCGGGTAGCACATGCAAAGGGAGTTCGTTCTCAGGCAAGTATTGCTATAGCGAGACGATACGTTACAAAGCTGCAGCGCATTTGAAGGCAACAAATTCAACATTTATATATTACAGTTACTGCCATGGCAAGGACGTAAAAAGAATTATGACTTCATTTCGAAACAAAAACTTCAAATGATGATATCGCGTTTATTTCCAAGTAGTTTAAGAAATCATTTTTCCTTCGTTCAATGTCTACATGTCTCTAGTTTTCTAGATCCTCCCACAGCACATCAAAGAGCATTATTTGAAGGAAGATCAATTCGAATTCGACAAAACATTCGAAACTTATCCAATTTTGTTCAACTTTATACCGATGCAATTCAATATCAATATGCCGACTCATTTTGATAGGGACCCATTAATACCAGATATGTCGGCCTCTGAAAAAAGCACTATAAGGATGCCTCGTGATCATGAGCGATCGCTGCTCCAACTTCTGTAAGGACGAAACTTGGAGACGAACTCCGAACCTCTCAATCCTCCAGGCTGGTGAAATGTTCGCAGGCTAGTTCAATAACTTAAGAATGGACGAGACTGATCAGGCTGGAACTTTCAGACGAAAATACGCTGTAATAAGCCACGCTACAAGTTCCTACAACGCAGTCAAAATCTGGAAAAGGGTTTAAATTAACAAATCATTGCCATATTGTGCAGTAAATTTACATCGGACATTGATCATCAGTATGCTTCGAAGATTGACCAGACATGAGNCATTGCCATATTGTGCAGTAAATTTACATCGGACATTGATCATCGGTATGCTTCGAAGATTGACCAGACATGAGAGTTTAGTCAACTGAAATTTGTTTCTCAAGTGACGAAACATGAGAGTTCAGGCAGCTGAAATTTGCTTCTCAGGTGACGAAATATGAGAGTTCAGTCAGCTGAAACTTGTTTCTGAAGTGACGAAATGAGAGTTCAGTCAGCTGAATTTTTTTTTTCTCAAGAGACGAAACATGAGAGTTCAGGCAGCTGAAATTTGTTTCTCAAGTGATGAAACGAGAGTTCGCAATTATATTAATTCTGATGGTTGTGTATTTGTTTTCCGTTCGGAAGGCACATGAAATTTCAGAATTTTTAGTAAATTGTTCAATTTATCATAACAAAGCCTATGTGTCT